ATTTCATGAAAAGTCTTTCCACATTGCAGGCTAACTCTGCCCAGAGCTTGGAGTTCAATTCTGATGGGCTCAAGGTTGATTCAGCCTTCCAAGGTCAGTAAAATGAGGACCCGGATTGCCAGGGCAATATGCTGACATTGTAAACTGCCCACAGAGTGCTATAAAGCATTGTGTGCCATTATATATATGTCCAAGTCCTATTGCTATTCCATACATTCCTAAGATTTCTTCCCTGTGTGAATCCTCTTATGGGATGTAAAGTGACTTTTCAACGTGAAGTTCTTCCCACATTCTGTGCACTGATACAATTTCTTCCGTGTGTGTGTACTAATGTGGTAAGTAAGGGAGCTGCTTGTACTCAAACACTTCCCACATTCATTGCATACATGATTTCTCCCCTGTGTGGACCCTCTTATGGGAAGTAAGGGAACGGCTGTGACAGAAGCCCTTTCCACATTCCAGGCATTTATAGGGTTTCTCTCCTGTGTGGGACCTTTTATGGTAAGTCAGCTGGCCACAGACAATAAAGGTCTTTCCACAGTCTGTGCATTTATAGGGTTTTTCCCCTGTGTGGATCCTGTTATGGGAAGTAAGCTGACTGCTTTGATTGAAGCTCTTCCCGCACTCCAGACATTTATAAGGTTTCTCTCCCGTGTGAATCCTTTTATGGGAATTCAGATAACTGCTGTTCCTGAACCTCTTTCCACACTCCATGCATTTATAGGGTTTCTCTCCTGTATGAACCCGTTTATGGGAAACAAGGGCACAGCTTTGGCTGAAGCCCTTCCCACAGTCTATGCATTTAAACGGTTTCTCATTTGTATGGATCCTTTTATGAGAAGTAAGATAACTTTTTATACTGAAACTCTTCCCACACTCCGTGCATTTATAGGGTTTCTCTCCTGTGTGAATCCTTTTATGAGAGTTCAGATAACTGCTGTTCCTAAAGTTCTTTCCACACTCCAGGCATGTGTAGGGTTTTTCCCCCGTGTGGATCCTTTTATGGGAGGCAAGCGCACTGCTCTGACAGAAGCTCTTCCCACATTCTATGCATTTAAAGGGTTTCTCTCCTGTATGGATCCTTTTATGAGAAGTAAGAGAACAATTCATACTGAAGCTCTTTCCACACTCCAGACATTTATAAGGTTTCTCTCCTGTATGGATTCTTTTATGGGAAGCCAGGTCACCACTTTGCCTGAAGCTCTTTCCGCACTCCAGGCATTTAAAGGGTCTTTCTCCAGTATGGATCCTTTTATGAGAAGTAAGGGAACTCTTTACACTGAAGCTTTTCTCACAGTCTATACATTTATAACGTTTTTCCTGGAGACCGATCATTTTATGGGACTTCAGCCATTCTCTGTTCCTGAACCTCTTTCTACATTCCATGTATTTATAAGATTTTTCTCCTGTGTGGATCCTTTTATGAGCAGTAAGGGAACTCTTTACACTGAATCTTCTTCCACAGACCATGCACTTATAGGGCTTTCCCCCTGTATGGATCCCTTTATGGGAATTTAGATTGCCTCTCCACCCAATGCTCTTTACCATGTCCAGACTTTTGTAGGGCTTCTCTCTTGCTTGGATCATTTTATGGGGAGTAAGATTATTACTGCTGAAGCTCTTTTCAATTTTGCAATGGTTACTAAAGCTGTGTTTTGTTTTGAAACTTTTTCTACTTCCTCGACAACTTGCTGTACTGTTTTCTTTGGAATCATGTTGGGTGAGGAAGTGATCCATTTCTGCACATTCCAGAATGGATTTTTCTCTCCAATTGTAAGGTTGGTTTTTTTCATGTTTCCTCCTCCCCCGCTTATTTGCAGATGTTTCTTCTGGTATTTCAGTTTTGATTATTTGCAATGGAACTATTCTTGGTTCTTGGTAATTTTCATTCTTCTGCATATGAAATGCTTGAGGGGGAAGAAAAAGAAATTAGAAAAATATACAATGTACAATGTATAAATCTACATTTATCTATTACTGGACATGTGCAGAGAAAGCAATGGGGGAAATGACAGCATGAATATTAGTTATTAACTTAAAACACAGCCTGGCTGCTCATCTTTTATCACTCTTGGTAGTTAAAAGTTTAAAGCAAAAACCGATCTTGACATCATGATGTGACACATATATTATATATATATATATATGATGCACCTAAGTTGCAATAACATACATAACATTGCAAGATCATTGCAAGAATAGACGATACGGTTTTGAATAAGACAAGAGATATAAGCAAAAACATTCCCCTGTAATTATCTTCCCAGTAACTCTGCAACATTAATATAGGTCCCAAAGAAGAGACCATGTCAACCCTTGCCAGAACTGGTTACAAAACTAATTTCTTTCATCTAACTGAAACTGTGGTACTTAGAACACCATGCAGATGGACTGCAATTAACGTTAAGAGGGAAAGAATCTTAGAGATAAAATATTAAAAGAAGATCTGCACAGATCTCTAAGCTGTAAATAAACTGTCTTTGCGCTGACTTAATTTTTCTTCAGAGGAACGTTTACCTAAAAAGGCTACAATCCTAGACATTTCCAACATGACTTCTCGATGCAGAGCTTTCTGGCTGAGATCAAGCAGCGACCACTCTTCACTGGTGAAATGAACGGCCACCTCCTCAAAGGACACAGGACCCTGAACAAGGAAGAATTACTGTGAACAGACTCAGGAAGAATTTGCGAGATCTCCTTTAATCTGCAAACGGTAACGGCACACAGTTATAATTCTTGATTGGACATTTCTCTAGCTGGATTCAAAACATTATATGATGAAATGGGCAGAATTTACAGCAGACGGCTGACAGCCAATTAGGGCACATTTAAAGAGATCATTGTCGATTTCAGAAAAGGCAGACACAACCACACACCTATGTATTAATGATTCACCTGTGGAGGTGGTTAGCAGCATCAGGTTTCTGGGTGTATAGCTAACAAGTAGGCTAACTTGGTCGCTCAACAGTGAGACACTGGTGAAGCGAGCATAGCAGCACCTGTATTTTGTGTGTCGCATGAGAAAAGTACATCTTCCTTTTCCTGTCCTTACATTACTGTCTAGTTTGGAATCATTACTGCTTCAGACAGGAAGGCGGTGCAGAGTGGTGAGGGTGGCATAAAAGATTATTGGTGGTTCACTCCCTTCTACCACAGGATATAGCACATAAGCATTGCTTGAGCAGGGTCCGTAGGATAGTTTGGGATGCTACACATCCTCTTCATGACCTGCTTTATCTTGTTGCCTTCTGGGAGGAAGGCATGGTATCTGAAGCAGAACTTCTAGATTCAGTTAGTTTTGTTCCATATAGTATCAACCTTGTGAACTCTCAAGTTTCCTCTTTCTGCTATATATGTGATTATGTGTGTGTGTATGTATACATGTATGTAGCATTTATATGTGTGTGTTATGTATGTGTATGGGTATATACTTTCTTTTGAGAGCAAGCAACAGAATTTCATTTATACTATGTGCCGGTGGGCTCACAGTAAAACATGACAATAAAGGTTATCTTATCACCTTGACTAACTCTGATGACCTTCAGTGCCACTAACCTGCCTTAATCAAGTGGCAGAGTGGGCCTTAGTCACACCATCTACCAATGGCACCAACATTTCACATTTGCAAGAGGTAATCTCAAAGAGCAGGCCTAGTGTTGACTGATCACTGAATTCTAATTTCCTGATGCTTCACTCAGGAAAAAAGGAAATTGGAGGTCTCCCATTACCAGCTCATCTTTTCCTTTCTTACCCGAGTTGGGGAACTAAGGACTCGCTCAACTCCACCAGTACAAGGAGATGATTTGATGAACGACAGCGACTCCATTTTGTTCACTGAGAAGAAGGAGACAGGATAGAAACAGTAAAGAGATCAACTTCATCTTTTCTAGTTTGAATGCACAACTTAAGATTTCTTCCTGTTCTGCAGAGGAAATCTCCATCCGACAGTACTACACTCTGCCTTCAGAAAAGAGCACAACCCCACCTCACACCAAGGAACAAACCTCAGTCGGAGTGCTCTCCTACCTTTTGGACAGTAACAAATCAAGGAAGCATACTCTTGGCAACCAAAGAGTTCACTTAACCATTGTAGATTCTCCCCCCACCCCCTGCAGCTTGAAACCAACATAGTCTATGTAAAACAGCAATTCATGAAATGCTGGCACTGCAGGAAATGCCTGCTGGTGATGATCCAGCAAGGATTTGTGTCAGAATTTACTCAAAATTATTTTAGCAAGAAAGGACAAAGACAGGTTTCTCTCCTCCCCATCAATGAGAACAAAGAGAAGACTCTCGCGATGGTGAATCCAGAATGCAACCCAAGGCAATCCCCATAGGTCTTCTATAAAGGAGGACTCATTGGAAGGTGGACCGAAGGGAGGAACTTTCTTCATGGGATTTAAGTCTTCTAGCTTGAGGGGATTATATCTTTCTTGCTGGCTCACCTTCTATTAGGTTCTACAATTACACATGAGAAGACACCGAGAATTAAGGGTAACTAGAAGCTTTCTGAAAAACCTCCAATCTGGTGGAAGGTTCTTCCCTTACCTAGTGAGGCAACCTGATGTTAATCTTTATTCTCATGGATCATTAAAGAGATCTGCCCGATCCACCCAATCAGGATATATAAGCAAAGAAAAGGAGTTAGGAAAATCCAGGATTTGGATTTTTATTTTCTGCCCAAGACCCCATCAATGGGGATGGAAGAGGTCCATGGGAGAATTGCTCCAAATGAGATATCCTCTGAGAGAACAAAGGTGCAATTTTGCTAATAAGGTTCTCTAAACATCTGCTCGCGTTATTAATCTTCAAAACTCTGGGAGATTATTTAAGAATTCAAGATTTTTAAGAATTTAAGAATTCAAGCACACACAAAGGTTCCTTCGTATTTCCCATGAAGAACATTTCTGACCTGGGGTCCTTCCTGGTTCTTCTCCTCTGCCAGGTTCAGCAGAAACCTTTCAGCCACTGGGACCACCGGGCAACTGGTGTCCGCTGGCTCTCCTTGGTCTCCAAAGATCCTCCCAGTCTTGGAATCTGAATCTGAAGGAGATGTGAGCGAGTGGTTCCTTTAGGCTTCCTCCCTCCTCTCGCCCCCAGCCCTGAAATATAAGCAAAGAAAGGGAGTTAAGGAGTTAAGAAAATCCAGGATCTGGATTTTATTTTCTGTCTACAATGTGGCCAAACCCTCGTATCCATCTGTGGGGATGGATGAGGCCAATGGGAGAATTGCTTCAAATGAGATTCTCTCTGGAAGAATGCCCGAACAATGATGATTAGGGGACTGGAGGCTAAAACATATAAGGAATGGTTGCTGGAATCGGGTATGTTTAGTTTAAAAAAGAGAAGGACGAGGGGGGACATGACAGCAGTCTTCCAGTATCTCAGGGGCTGCCCCAAAGAAGAGGGAGTCAAGCTACTTTCCAAAGCACCTGAAGGCAGGACAAGAAACAATGGATGGAAACTAATCAAGAAGAGAACTAAGGAGAAACTTCCTGACAGTTAGAACAATTAAGGCAGGACAAGAAGCAACGGATGGAAACTAATCAAGGAGAGAAGCAACCTAGAACTAAGGAGAAACTTCCTGACAGTTAGAACAATTAACCAGTGGAACAACCTGCCTCCAGAAGTGGTGAATGCTCCAACACTGGAAGTTTTTAAGAAGAGACTGGACAGCCATTTGTCTGAAATGGTCTAGGGTTTCCTGCCTGAGCAGGGGTTGGACTAGATGACGTCCAAGGTCCCTTCCAACTTTATTATTATTATTATTATTATTATTATTATTATTATTATTATTACTATTATTATTATTACTAATTTCACCAATGAGGTGCTCTAAATTATCTACTTCCATTATTAATCTCCAAAACTCCAAAACTGTCAGGGAGATATTTAAGAATTCAAGCACATGAAGATCCCTTCCTATTTCCCAGGAGGAGCATCTCTGACCTGGGGCCCTTCCTGAGCATGGGGTCGGACTAGAAGACCTCCAAGGTCCCTTCCAACTCCGTCATTCTATTCTATTCCTGCTTCTTCTCCTCTGCCAGGCTCAGCAAGAAGTCTTTCAGCCGCTGGCATCGTCCGGCAACTGGTCTCCGCTGGCTCTCCGAAGATCCTTCCCGTCTTGGAAGCAGAACCTGAAGGAGACATGAGCAGGTGGTCCCTTCAGGCTTTTTCTCCCCTCCCCCACTGTTGGATCTCCTGCATGCACAGCCAGGAGCAGTTATGGGGTGGCTCTCCGGCTCCCACCCAGCTCGGGGATTCACAATCCAGCTGTTTCCCCTCCGCTGGCGAGGATCTGGGTCGCGGGACCACCACCCCTTGCCCGCCACCCTCCCCACAGATTCCCAGGCAGCAACTCACAGACGGTACCAACCCACGGGCAGACAGACTCGAGCATGCGCAGTAGTTTCCAGTCGGCCGACAGCGAAGAGAAGCGCCCTCTACTGGAACCAGAGGGCAGCGCCCGGACTTGGGCAATCGCTCGCGGCCATGGCAGCGGGGGGGGGCATCTCAGAGGCCATCCAGGCCGACCTCTGCTCGGGGTGGCACCTGCGGTGGAGCTCGCCCCCTTGCCGAATGGCATCCGGCAGAAGCTACGGCGAGATCGCAGGCCTCCTCCCCGCGCCCTTGTGCGGAAAGTCACCCGGAGGGGAGGCCGCCTCCGTCCTTTCGGGAGCCCATCGAGAGCAACCCCGCTTCGCTCCCCTCCCATCCCCTCCCCTTCCCCCCCCCCGCCCGCTTCCATTTGGTCCAGGCGGGGCGTGGTTGGGAAGGGAACGAAGACTGAGGGGGGGGGGGGAAGAGAGAGAGAGAGAGAGCCCTCCGCGTCACGTGAGCCTGGCGAGCCAATGATGGGCGAGAAGCGGTGGACAGGTTTTGGTGGGAAACGGAGTCTCTGGGTCGCCTCAGCCGCTTCTCTGCTGGGCGCGAATCTCTCTCCTTGCCCTGAGGAAAGGTAGGGAGGAAGGAAGGAAGGAAGGAAGATCACAACACACTGACACACAGAGGAGAAGCTACACCGGCCCAAAGCAAAAGACTGATTCAGACACACACAAACAAAACACCTTCACACTCGTAATTTCCTCCTTGGAGAAAAGAGGCTGCATTGGCCCAAAGCAAACGACTGACTGACACAAACAAAATACACTCACCTAATGGCCTCCTGGGAGAAGAGAGACTGCATGGCCCAAAGCAAAAGACTGACTGACAACACAGAATACAAAAATGCATATGTAGTAGTATACTATACTATCAAATATTAATAATGTTACAGTATATCATAATGTAGGTACTGCATGTTTGAACAGGCGTTAGTACATTGTACAGGGCTAAGTATTTATCTTGCAAGACAGTTTTTTTCATTACATCCTGCCTTTATTACAAACAATTCAAAGCGAACTTAAGGTGAACAAGGCAAACATCTCCAACACTTCCTCCCATTTTACCCCATAACAACAACCTTGTGAGGTAGGCTGCATTGAGAAAGAGAGAGAGAGAGACTGGCCTAAGCTGGCTTTCATGGTCAAGGCAGGATTTGAACTCAGGGTCTCTTGCTGTCTAGCCTAGTGCCTTAACCACTAGACCAAGTAGACAATTGCTAGTTTAGAAAGTCTATCTTCACAAGAATCTTTTAAATGTATTGTATTATATTCTAGGTAAGCCACCAAGAGTCCCGATCGCAGCGGAACACCTCTTTAAAGAAATATTTTTTAAGTTCAAAATTAAACATAAAAATGTTTTGATCTCTATTCACATAGTAAGAGAAGCAGCTTTTGTCTATTCTCTGCTGGAAGAGAAACAGCAAGAATTTGGCTGCAATAATTGGTGCCGTGGTCTTATAGGCCACAGAAGAACATGATGGCTGGACATCATCAAAGCTAATACTGGCCAGAGCGTAGAAAAACTCAAGTAGTGTTCCAAAGAAGCTCCTTGGATGAGAAACAAAATGTTTTCAAGGGGAAAAAACAAAGTCCAGTTGCCTTTGGAAAAGCACCTTTGGAACAACCATGATCTGGATGATTGAGAATCTCCATAGACATAAGAAAAGTAATGCAAGATCAGAAAATGTGGAGAGACCTGGCCCATAGAATTGCCAAGAGATGGACATGACAATCGATAACATCAACATTATAATCTGTCTTACAGCAGAGAATCTACTTCATATCAGAAGCTTTGTTATGGCATGAATTTCCACTTGCTTTAGGGTACGGATGAGTTATAGTTCCTATTTAGAAAAACTCATGAGACAAATTCATCTGGGAACACATCTTTTACAAAAAACTTAAGAATCAGGAATGCTCTAAGTAAAATACACTATGCAGAATATAGCAATTAGCAAACTTTGATGCCACATATCAATGTAAGCAATGTACTCAGAGGCCACAGTAGAGTCATCATCAGCTAAAGTCAAGGCCTTAGTCTATCAGTGAGACTAAAGAAACCTTTTCTAAGGAAAATCATCTCAACCATTGGATGAGAAACAGGATACATCAAGGCAGGAAATTATTGAGCTCTTACCTTTCATAGAGCAGAAGACCAGACCAGCTTCTGCTACTCGAACAACTAGGAGATGCAGTGAGCCATATCTAGCCAAAAAAATGACTCTAGGCATCTGCACATGGAGCAGGGACCCTCACCCAGCAAGGCCACATTCATCAAGTTTTCCAGCACTACTTCTCTTTGCAAACCTTTTTGGTGGGGATCTAACAGAACCCACTCTTCCTCAGAAAAATATATAGCCACTTCCTCAAAAGATGTGAGACACTAAAAAAAGAAAACATAATTTCTCTTTTAAGGAACAAGTCAAGCAAAGAACTGGAAGTCCTGAATTCCAAAGGAAAAATTTGCAATGGATTAAATGCATGTCCTCTACACAGTATATACAACGTGTATGGAAGAAAATGGGTAGAATGAACTTACTGCCTTAATTTATGCTTGTTGTATTGCATTACAAAGATAAAAGCATCTCAAATTCAGGATTCAAATTCTTACCAGCTCCATGCCAAACTCATCAAACTTGAGGTGCCTGAGTTTTGACACAACAATACTATGAAGGAGCTGAATGGATCTGTGTAGAAGGGGGAAAATATGGAAGAATTGTTAGGGAATTGAAACTGAAATAAAGTTTTGTTCTTCAGCTTTTAGAAACCAGGGTGGGGCGAACAAGATTTTTCAGATCAATCACATCCGTGGAAAGATGATGTGCTAAGATGGACATGGGGGTAAGAGGGAAGAACAGACTGCCAGCTCAACCCCTCCCTCAAATCAATTTATCCTCTTAGGAAGCTCTTCTGTCCAGACCCCCTCAATGCAGGTGGAGGGGGAGAGAGCCCCAAGTAGACAAGTGTTTAGCCTTGCCTTCCGTGAGAGATCCTCTCCCTAACCTTAGAAAGAAAAATATAGGAAAAAGTTAAAGATTTCCCAGGAGGTAAAATAGACATTCTTTCCAGAGCAGATGGAAGAAGCCAGAAGGAGCAATCCCTATTTCCATCGTCCAAGCATTCCATAAGCCTGCTTGGAGTGATAAATTTGATCCAGATTATTTTTTATCTATCTGTAAATGAATTACAGGAAATTCTGACTTGCAGCCTAGGTGAATGCAATGGACAATGAAATGGCTCAAAATCATATTCTTGTTCATCAATATTTCCCCAAGAAATGGGAATATAGTCTTGAATCATCAAGCTTCAGTATTTATATGATTTGTAATAATTATGTAATCAAGGAACGTGAGAAAAATGTGGAGGGAAAAAGGACAACCAGTACACTAGAAGACAGAAATAGATTTTAAAAACATCCTCATCATCTGATTCTTATCCAACTTCAACTTTCCACTCTCACAGGTAGGTCAGGGAAACGGGCTACCCATGAAGTGAAAGAAGTTTGAAGGGGAGGCATACAGGTAGTCCTCTGGAAAGCAAGATTTGATCATGCAGTTGGAAGGATGGGGATATGTGTCAGGGGGTCTTGTGAAAAATGAGACGTGGTTGGAGGAGACTTCTACAACTTTGGGTGTCCTCAGCTAGAAGAATGGGATTTGCACATCTCAGCAATCATTGTGTCCCCTAGGCATTGCTTCACTCAGGACCCACTTGTGTCCCCTTCAGGACACCCCAGTTTAACACGGAACAGTCCCTTCAAGTTGGGCCTGCAGACTCAGCCTAGAGACAGATGACATGGCATAAGAGAGGATTGCAATTGGTGCTCCTGCTTATTCCTAGCAACCCAATTCCAAAATACCCCCCTCCCAATTCCACTTCTCCCCCCTCTTGAGAGGGGGCTTGTATGGGGCATTTCATGAGTTCTGCTGGGGTCCCCTGTTCCTGCTGATGATGGCGCTGTCCCAATCTTGGAAGTGAGGAGGGAAGCTCCCAGGTAAGAAGGGGGATAGGGGGCACCATTGAAGGGGCTGCGACCTTCAGGAGATGGAGAAAAGGCTCAAGGACAATGGATGCAGGAGCTTGTGACTCCTTCCTTTCCTTTTCCCTCCTGAGCACGCTTCTCCCAATCTGATTTGCTAAGTGGTGAAGCGGGAAAAGGGGTTCTGAGGGGTGGGAGGGCATCTTTGCGGCTCATTAGAGGTGGATTTGACTCCTTCCTCAGATTACAAATTAGGCCTCCTTCTGGGCCACTCTTCTCTCTCAGGGGCCCCCTCCACCCCCACAGTGCCCACCTCAATAGTCCCTTTCCAGCCCTTTCGAGGCTCTTGGGGGCCCATCCCACCCAAATGCATTCAAATGTCTCCGATTCAGTCAGACCGAATAAGAGCCCCCAACCTAAAAGGAACAGGGCCACACTTGGGAGGCAGCCCCCTCAATTCAACAGCTGCTCTGATAGGAAACCCTCAGTAGATCCCTCGGGGTCACCCCATGGCTGAGGTGAAATAACTGGGAGGATCCCCAGATCCTGGGATCTGATCCCCTTCAAGGCCTCAGCCTCCACTCTCCCGCAATTGTGGTCCTGTTCCTTTTAGATTGGGGTATCTTCAAAATAATGATGGTATCTCTTAAAGTCAAAGGGTAAGGGTGAAATTGCTGGCTCTAGAATAAGAAATTAATGTAATTAATGTATTCAAATAATATATTATTTAATTGTATTAACTGGGAAGACAATATCTTCTCATTTAATACCCAGAGCTCCCACTCCTTGAAATACAAATCTTTGTCTTTCACTCAAAGGCCAAATGTATGTTCAGACTGTAGAAAGCAGCAAAAGAATTATCAGTTCTCTGGTTCCCCGTTGAGTCCTTTGATGTAAAGTTGGCCAAAGCACGATCAATTCTGCATGGATCATCTTCATAGATGCAAAATTATATAATTAGGAAAATTCTAAAAAAAATGCCAAGATTTTATAATGAGGAATGTTCCCACATTTTATAAGCTACAATTTCTCTCGTTGCTTGCTTCTTTCAAAGATTACCTTGCTAATGCTTTTGTCATTCCGTGGTTTTCTATGCATCATTGTGCAATGTGAAGCAGTCACATCCGAACACATTCCATCTCCTTCCACCACTTTCTAACATTTAATTCCACTCTCCCCCCTCCCCCCATATGTTCTCCTACATCAGTGGTTCTCAACCTTTTTAATGCCGCGACCCCCAACCGGTCATAAGTTGAGGACTAAGCCAGTCGTAAGTCGAGGACTAAACCGGTCGTAGGTCGAGGACTAAACCGGTCGTAAGTCGAGGACTACCCAACCGGTCGTAAGTCGAGGACTTTCCCTGCCTGGGAGCGCCGCGCATGCGTGGTTCCGCCCCCTGCGCCGGCCGAGGCGTAGCTGGCAAGCGGCAGAGACGGAGCAGGCCGACCACCAGCTGGCCCAGCTCAAGGGAGGTAAGGCACCCGCCGGAAAAGGGGAAAAAAATGGCGGACAGCCTTGCTTGGCGACCCCCGTGAAATGGTCGATCGACCCCAAATGGAGTCGCAACCCATAGGTTGAGAACCGCTGCCCTACATATTCATCTGGTTTCTTCATTTAGCTTTTTTGTTCAATGTGTATTAAGTATGGCATCACTTACATTGCACAACAACTGTTTCCAACAATTTATTAATCTTTCAAAATGAGAAAGGTTGTTAATAATCAGGACATACGTTTTTAAAAAAGCTACATTAAGATAAAAAGCACGAAGTCGCAATGATGCTAGTAACAATTTTCTCCAAAACCATAGCAATGCTACGGTCCCCTAACAGGTCAAGCACAATTGACCTTTCTGATCAACTTGATATCACAAAATGAAATAGAGGCACTAAAGTGACATTTGAAAATCTTGAGAAATAGAAAATACGGTACCAATTACTTTAATCTGAGAAACTGAATAATGAGTAATTTAAATCAACCAATTTAAATCCTTTTTTAAAAAAAATTGCTCATGTGGTACAGTTGGATAAATAAAGCCATTTATAAAGTCCCTTTCAGCTGGGTTAATGCAATTTTGCACCAAACTGCCTGTACATACAAACATTTGGGAGAGATTTTCACTTGTAAACCAAACTTGTGGACATACAGAATATGAAAAAAAATACCTTAAATACTTTGCTACATGTTTAAAAACCAGTATTTTAAACACAATTAGAGCTAAAATGACTATACACATGTACATTTTCCCTTGCTTTGCTTGCATACACCAGCTCTTAGAAAGCCTGGAGGCTGATCTCAGACTCACTTCAGATGCTACTTCTGCCTAAATAAAGCAAAGGCAATTGTTTAACAGATTTTATCTTTGGAATTAAAAACTTTATCCTGGGAGCTTTACAAAATCCATGCATTCCTTCAGTTTCTCCTATGGTAATCCTCTGAAAGGACTTTCACCACATTTTTCCACAGATGTTATTCTTTTTACACTCCATATCTTTAGACGATTTTATATCACAGTGGATCTTTTACATAAATTAAGAACACTTCAGTCCCTAAAGGGATCTCCCTCCCGACTTGTATGAAATCCCTGATGTGAGTCATACTAATTTGGGAAATAAATTGATTGCATGCCACAGAATATTTTTCCGCCCTCTGGATTCTTTCTTGAGAAGCATACTGTTATCACAAAAACTCCTTCCGCATTCCATATATTTCTATTTCCCTGCTATGTGGATCCTCTTATGGGAAGTAAGGTGTCTTTTTAATCTGAAGCTCTTCCCACACTCCGTGCACTGATGCAATTTCTTCCGTGTGTGAGAACTAATGTGGTAAGCAAGGGAGCTGCTTGAACTTAAACTCTTCCCACATTCATTGCATACATACAATTTCTCTCCCATGTGGATCCTGTTATGGGAAGTAAGGACACGGTTATCACAGAAGCTCTTTCCACATTCCAGGCATTTATAGGGTTTCTCTCCGGTGTGGGTCCTTTTATGGTAAGTCAGATAGCCACTGCCAGCGAAGGTCTTTCCACAGTCTGTGCATTTATAAGGTTTTTCCCCTGTGTGGATCCTATTATGGAAACTAAGTTGACTGCTTTGGCTGAAGCTCTTCCCACACTCTAGACATTTATAGGGTTTCTCTCCTGTGTGAATCCTTTCATGAGAAGTAAGAGAAGTCTTTATAGAGAAGCTCTTTCCACACTCCAGGCATGTATAGGGTTTCTCTCCCGTATGGATTCTTTTATGGCAGGTCAGGTAACTGCTGTTTTTGAAGCTCTTTCCACACTCCATGCATTTATACGGTTTTTCTCCTGTGTGGACCCGTTTATGGGAAGCAAGGGCACAGCTTTGCCTGAAGCCCTTCCCACAGTCTATGCATTTATAGGGTTTTTCCCCTGTGTGAATCCGTTTATGAGAAGTAAGAGCACTCTTTACGCTGAAGTTCTTTCCACACTCCATGCATTTATAAGGTTTCTCTCCTGTATGGATACGTTTATGGGAAGCAAGGGAACCGCATGTCCTGAAGGGTTTTCCACACTCCGTGCATTTATAAGGTTTTTCACCTGAATGGATCCTTTTGTGGGAGGTCAGTTGATTACTATTTCTATAGCTCTCTCCACACTCAATACACTTATAGGGTTTCTCTCCTGTATGAATCCTTTTATGGGAAGCAAGGCCACCACTTTGCCTAAAGCTCTTCCCACACTCTATGCATTTAAATGGTTTCTCTCCCGCATGGATCAATTTATGCTTAGTAAAAGAAGCATTCATCCTGAAGGTTTTTCCACAGTCTACACATTTATAGGGTTTTTCCCCTGAATGGACCCTTCTATGGCATATTAGGTAACTACTAGTGCTGAAGCTCTTCCCACACTGTATGCATTTAAAGGGTTTTTCTCCAGTATGGATCCTTCTATGGGAAGTAAAGGAACTCTTTACACTGAACCTTTTACCACAGTCCACACATTTATAAGGCTTTTCCCCTGTATGGATCCTTTTATGGGATTTGAGACAGTCTCTGTTCCTGAAGCTCTTTGCACACTCTAGGCACTCATAGAGTTTTTCTCTGGTGTGGATCCTTTTATGAGAAGTAAAGGAACTGACTGAACTGAATCTTTTCCCACAGACTGTGCACTTATAGGGTTTTCCCCCTGACTGTATTCTTTTATGGGAAGTTAGATTACCTCTCCACCGAAAGCCTTTTCCCCAGCCCTCACCTCTGTAGGGCTTCTCCCTTGCCTGGGACATTATATGAGGAGTAAGTTTATTACTGCTGAATCTCTTTCCAGTTTTGCACTGGTTACTAAAATTGGGGTTTGCTTTGAATCTTTTTCTACTTCGACATTTCCCTGTATTTTCTTTGAAGTCATGTTGGGTTAGGAAGTGATTCATTTCCACACATTCAAGAATAGATTTTTCTCTCCAATTGTGCTTCTTTTCATGTTTCCTCCTTCCCCACTTATTTGTGGGTGTCTCTTCCTGTATTTCAGTCTTGATTATTTGCAACGGCACTAAATTTGGCTCTTGATGATTTTCCTTCTGAGCATCAAATGCTTGAGGAGGAAGAAAAATAAATTAGAAAAACCAACAACATATAATTTGTCATCCCAATGCATAGATTTATCTATTACTGGGCATTTGCAGAGAAAGCAACAGGTGAAATGACAGCATGAATATTAGTTATTAACTTAAAAGACTAGCATGGCTGCTCATCTAACCCTCATACTTGGCAGTTAAAAATTTAAAGCAAAAACAGGTCTTGATATCAGGATGTGGCACACAAATTGTCTCACATATGATGCACCTAAGTTACAGTCAAAAAGACAATGTCATTGTATTTCATTGCAACATGAAATAAGACAAAATTTGTTGCCGATTAGGACAATTGTAATAGCCAAAAACATCCTCTCCCTAATCATCTTCAAAATAGCTCTGCAGTGATGACACAGGGCCCAGGATGACCACAAGACCGAATGTCAACCCTTGCCAGAATGACTGATCACCCCACTGATCTCTTTCTTCTAAATGAAATTGTGCTACTTAGAAGACCATGAAAGCGGACTGGAATTAACGTAGAAGGAAAAAGCAGAGATGAAATCATTTTTAACAAGACACGTATAGAGTTAAGTTGTGGCTAAAGTGTCTAGTGACACTTTGCTCTGACTTAATTTTCCTCCAGAGGAACCCTTACCTAAAGAGGCCACGATCCCAGACATTTCCAACATGACTTCTCGATGCAGGGCTTTCTGGCTGGGATTCAGCAGCAACCATTCTTCTCTGTTGAAATAGACGGCCACCTCCTCAAAGGACACAGGACCCTGAACCAAGAAGAATCCCTGTGAGCAGACTCGATAGAATTTGCAAGATCTCCTTTCATCCGCAAATCCAAAAAACACAAAGTGAACATTCTTGATTGGACATTTCCCTAGCTGGACTCCACACATTACATGATAAAATGTAATTCACAGAATTCACAGCCTATGGCTGAAAGCCAATTACAGCATGCTTATCACCTTGACTGACTCTGCTGACCTTCAGTGTCATCAATCTGCCTTAATCAAGTGGCAGAGTGTGCCTTAGATGCACCATCTACCAACAATTCCAACATTTCATGATGTTTGCAAGAGCTTCTGTGGGATTTCTGTCTGACATGGTAACCAAAAGGTCTTTGTGGTTCTTTGAAGGACCAGCCTTGCTCACCACTCATGAACATTCATGAAAATACTAGGAAGGCACTTCCGGCCATCAAGATGCAGATGATACACAAAGCAGTTTCTGCTCCTCCTGTTTTTCTCCCTTTCCCCAACAATTAGAAAACAGGATTACACTTACAATAAAGTAGATTTAGCCTAACTATTCGTGTGTCCTGTCTGCTTTACTTGGGATAGACAACATGAACTGTTATGTGGCATTTTTGAAATCAGAATGATATAACCACTAAGGAATTCTATACATTTCCAAAACTTTGTTGAGAGGTGGGCCTAGTTTGACTGATCATGAATTTACATTTCCAATTTCCTTGTTGTTTACTCAGGAATAGCAGTATCGTATGTTGCATCCTCAAAGGACACTAGAGGTCTCCTACTGTTCCCCCATATTAGCTGCTGATCTCTTCCTTCCTACCTGAGTTGGGAATCCAGTGACTCTTTCAGCTCCACCAATAGAAGATGATTCAGTGAACAACAGTGACTCCATTTCATCCACTGGGAAGGAGAGAGACAGGATGGAAACAGGAAAGGGTTCAACCTTTTCTAGCTTGAAGGTGCAACTTAATATTTCTTCTTGTCCTGCCCAGGAAACCTCCATTGGCCTTTTCTACACTCTGCCTTTGGTGGCCTTTCAGAGGCTCCATCAGGGGAGCCAAGAACAAAAGGAGAAGACCAAGCCCCACCACACACTGAAGAACAAACCTCAATTGGATTGTTCTCCTTTTTGAAAGAACTCATGGAAGTATATTCTTGGCAACCAAAGCATTCGCTCAATCCCTGCAAATTCTCCCCCAATTCCCTGCAGCTTGAAACCATCATGTTCCATGTAGAAGAGCAATTCATGAAATTCTAGCAACCCAGGAACATGCCTGCAAGATGGTAGTGTTGGAAATGGTCCAGCAGGGATCTTTGCAGGAATTGAGTCGAAATTACCTCTTAAGGAAAGCCAAAAACAGGTTGTTCTCTTCCGCAACACCAAGAACAAAGAAAAATCTCTCATGATGGAGGAGCCATAATATAACTCAAGGTGACAATGCTAGAAGAGTCAATTTTCTGCCAAAGGCAAACCATAGGCTTGATCTGAAGGGAGGGAATTCCTTTGTGCGCCTTAGGTCTTCTAGCTTGAAAAGGGAGTTATATCTTTCTTATTGGGTCACCTTCTACTAAATCCAATGACGAAGACATGAGAAGATACACAGAATTAAGGATAACTAGAATCTTTCTAGAAAATCTCCAATCCAGTGGAATGGTGTTCCCTTACCTAGTGAAGTGCCCTGAGATTGATTTTTATCCTTGGGGATCCCTCTGAAAGACGGAGCGCGAGAAAGACTTGTGTATCCACCCAATTAGTCCCCATTCCTGGAAGGACCTCAGAACCTGGAATAGAAGCGAAGGAGAGGGCTTAAGAGGACGGGACATGAGGGGATCTGGATTTTATGTTCTTTCCACAAGGTGGCCAAACCCTCGTGTCCATCGATGGGGATGGATGGAGGCCCATGGGAGAATTGCTCCAAATGAGATACTCTTTGGAAGAACGCCAGAACAATTTTGCTAATGAGGTGCTCTAAATTATCTACTTCCATTATTAATCTCCAAAACTCTATCAGGGAGATATTTAAGAATTCAAGCACATGAAGGTCCTTTCCTATTTCCTATGAGGAGCATCTTTGACCTGGGGCTTTTCCGGAGCAGGGGGTCGGACTAGAAGATCTCCAAGGTCCCTTTCATTCTATTCCTGCTTCTTCTCCTCTGCCACGTTCGCCAGGAACCTCTCAGCCGCTGGCACCACCGGGCAACTGGTCTCCGCTGGCTCTCCAAAAATCCTTCCAATCTTGAAAGCTGAACCTGAAGGAGACGTGAGCAGGTGGTCCCTTTAGGCTTCCTCTCCCCTCCCTCCCCCCCCCTCAACTTTCTCCTCCTCCCCCGTTATTGGATCTCGTGCATGCACAGCCAGGAGCAGTTATGGGGTGGATTCCCCGCTCCCTCCAAGCTTCGGGATTCGGAGTCTGTTTCCCCTCCCCTGGGGAGGATCTGAGTCGCGGGACCCGCTCTTGCCCACCCCCCCTCTCCCAGATTCCCGGGGAGGAACTCACAGCCTGCTCTCTCCAGACCAAGCAGACGGAGTCGAGCATGCGCAGTGGCACATAATCAGCCGGCAGCCAAGAGCTCCTCCTGCTGAGAGCTGCGGTGAAATCACGGCCGTGGAGGAACCTTGGAGGCTATCCACCCCAACCTCTGGTCGGAGCCGGGGCTGCCGTGGAAATCGCGCTCTGCCATTTAGCATCCGGTAAAAGCCATGGGGATATGACAGTCCTCCCCGTCCTTGTGTAAATGACGACTTGATGATAGCAGTATTCCAGTATTTGAGGGGCTGCCCCAAAGAAGAGGGTTATCAAATTCATCTCCAAAGCACAAGAAATAATGGATGGAAACTGACCAAAGACAGAAGCAACCTGGAATTAAAGAGAAACTTCCTAACAGTGAGGACAATTAACCAGTGGAACAGCTTGCCTTCAGAAATCGTGGGCACTCCATCACTGGAGATTTTTAAGAAGAGACTAGACCAGTGATGGCGAACCTTTTAGAGACCAAGTGCCCAAACTGCAACCCAAAACCCACTTATGTATCCTCGGGTGCTGGGTGGGTGTGGCCAATTGGGTGGGCATGGCTGCGGTGGTAACGGCAGACTGTGTGGGACTAAAAAGTTCAATCAATCAAATCGAACTTTGCGAGATTTTTTTTTCCTCATGAGGTTGAAATTGATTGAAAAAAGTTGAACTTTTTTTTTTTGCTGAAGGCCTAGGACTGGGGCAACAGCACGTGTGCCCACAGAGAGGGCTCTGCGTGCCACCTGTGGCACGCGTGCCATAGGTTTGCCACCATGGGACTAGACAGTCATTTGTCTGAAATGATATAGGGACCCTTATTTGAGCAGGGGGCTGGACTAGAAGACCTGCAGAAAGGTGATTTTGGTTACGTCCTTTGGGAGCCAATCGACAGCATCTCACACACACAGACACACAAACGGACAGTGAGAGCGAGCGAGGGAGGGAGAGAGACTCATACAGAGCTTAAGGGAAAACATATAGGGAAAAATTAAGTTTCCCCAGAAGGTAAAATAGACATTCCTTTGTCGAAAATACAGGTGATTGTACCGTGATCCATTGCCAGAGACAATGCCCAATTAAGTCCACTGGACATGAGAAATTCTTTGAGCAAGTCTCCTTTATTAATGCGCAAAAGGAGGAACCCCCAACAGAGTCATACATGACTTTTTGCAGTTTTTCACAGGATACTAGCAAAGTACTGTAATTCAGTTATTTGTTAATGCACAGGCATCTAAGGTGATTTCCTTATTCTCCCAGTTTTCCACCCTAAGGTGTACACACAAGTAGTATTTCAGTATGCTAACGAGCCTTTCTGGGGCAACGAGGGACTGATTTTCTAGGTCAGAGCAGGGTGGTGTTGAAGCTCTCCCCCAAATCTGGCAGAACGTGACACTTTGTGCTGCTTCTGATATTTTGAGCTTGACACCTGCTGATGTTTCCCCCTTTTGTAGACCACATTCTCATTAAAATTGTGAGCAAATTTGCCAGGACCACATCCTTTTAGTTTTCTTCATCTTCCAGAGCAGATGAAGGAGCCAGGAGGAGCAATCCCTTTCCATCCTCCAAACATCCCATAAAAGACTGCCTGGAGCAACAAATTTGATCCAGATTGTTTTTTACATATCCATAAAGAAATCCCAGGAGAGACAGCCTTGCAAGCTGAGTGCAGTGGACAGTGAAATGGCTCAAAATCATATTCTTGTTCATCAATATTTCCCCAAGAAATGGGAATGCTCAGTCCTGGATCATGCAGCTCCAGTATTTATATGATTCGTAATAATTATGTAATTAAGGATCGTGAGAAAAAAGGGGAAGTGGAAAGGAGAGCCAGTACTCTAAAAGACAGAAATAGACTTTAAAAACATCCTCATCTGATTCTCACTCTCACAGGTAGCTCAGAGAAACGGGGCTAACCGTGAAGCAGAACCGTTTGAAGGAGGGGAGGCATACAGAGAGTCTTCTGCAAAGCAAAAGTCGATCATGCAGCTGGAAGGCTGGAGATACGTGGAGTCTTGTGAAAAACAAGTGGGCTGTGGCTGGAGGAGAGCGCTACAATTTTGGACGTCATCAGCTAGAGAAGACTGGGATTTCCACATCTCAGCAATCACTGCCTCCCCTAGACATCGCTTCGCGGTGTCCTCTTCGGGACACCCCAGTTTAACCCGGAATGGTCCCCTCCAGTTGCGGTTGCACACACACACACCTCCCTCGTTTCTCAGCTTCTGCTTCAAAGGCTTTCCCCCGCCCCGCAGGGAGAAATCACGAGAGATTCTGCCCGGAGACAGATGACACAACAGAAAGGAGAATTCCCATTGGCGCAGCTTATTCCCAGGAGAGGCGTTGGGGAAAAGGCTGCAGGGCAAGGGAGGCGGGAGCTTGAAAGAGACCCCTCCCCTTCTCTCTCCCTTCTGGCCAATCCCCTCCCAGCGCGATTCCCTCTCAGGCGGAGAGAAGCGGGAAAAGAAGGGTGGGAGGAGCCTCTTTTCTTGAGGGAAGAGAGAGAGAGAACAGAGAGATGCCGCTCTGAGGGAAGCGCCGCCATCGGGGGTCTTTGGGGCTCCTCGGGGACGGACCCGATTCTTCCTTTCTCTCGGTCTGACTCCGAATCGGGCCTCCCTATACTCCCTTGGGGGCCCCTCTTCCACCCCCACAGTGTCCCCCTCAAGAGCCCCTTCCCAGCCTCCTCGAAGCTCTGGGGGGCCCATCACGTCCAAACGCATTTAAGCGTCCCTGATTTAGGTAAGTCGGATAAAAGCCCCCAACCTAACAGGAGAAGGGCCACTGTTGGGGGGCAGCCCCCCTCAATTCAGCAGCTTCTCTGATGGGAAACCTCCCAGTTGACCCCTTGGGGTCACCTCATGGTTGAGGCAGAATGACTGGGAGGATCCCCAGATCCCGGCCCCTGATCCCCTTCAAGGCCTCAGCCTCCACTCGCCCCCAAAGACCCTTCAAAATAATAATGGTAAGTCTTCATTTTCAAAGGCAAAGGGTCGAATTGCTGGCTGGAGGATAAGATCTATTGAATAGACTCATTCAATTAAAAAATTATTTAATTCCACAGAATGGGAAGATAAATGTAGACTGCCGGGACCTCTCTACTCCTTGAAGTGCAAATCCTTAAAGGCAAAAAGTACCTTCCAAGTTGTAGAAAGAGGCAAAAAGCTTAAGTTCTCTGGTTCCCCTTTGAGTCCTCTGGTGTAAAGGAAGAAGATAAAATTGGCCAAAGCACTATCAATGTTTCATGGATTATCTCTATAGATGTAAAATTACATAATTAGGAAGTTCTGCTCAAGTTCCATACATTTATAAGGAGATGATCTTCCTACATTTTATAAGCTCTGGTTTCACCTCTTTGTTGCTGCCTTTATAGGTGGATCCTGCTTTGCAAATGCTTTTCTCATATTCCATGGATTTATATGCATCGTTGTCTGTGCAGTGTGAAACTGAATCAGGTCTGAACTCATTTCACATTCTACCTCTTTTAAACATTGTATTCCAGTCTTCTCCTAACCCCCCATGAAAATCTGCATATTCATCTCATTTCTTCATTTAATTTTCTTCTTCAATGCATATTAACTAGGAAACTGTGCAACAGTTGTTCCCAATAATTTATTATATTAACCTTGCAAAGCAAGAAATATAGTTAATAATTAGAATACATGGAGACATTTTTTAAAAGTATACTAAGATTAAAAAGCACAAATGCACAATCATGCTAATAAAAGGAGTTGTTCCTAATTTGAAATGCCATGGTCCCTTAAAATTTCAAATTAGATTGACCTTTCTGATCACCTTGATATCACAAAATAAAATAGTGGCACTAAAGTGACATTTTAAAACCTTAACAAATAGAAAATGTGGTTCTGGTTACTTTATGTGGAGAAATGAATAACTGAACAATTTAAATCAAACTATTTAAGTCCCTCCTTAAAAAAAAAGACATTGCTCATATGGTATACTGCAGCTAGATCAATAAAATCATTTTTAAAGTAAAGAGGCAACAGCTGCGATCATAAAATGACTGGCTATATTTCTACTTTCAGTTCATTAATGCAAGTTTGCACCAAACAAATACAAGACTAAACAGACATGTACATATAAATATTTAGAAAAAACATTCACTTGTAAATGAAACCTATGCACATATATGAAAAAAGAATCAATAGCATGTTTAAAGAAGGTCAGTAATTTAAACACAATTAGATCTATAATCCACATACATATATATATATTCCCCTGCTTTGCTTGCATTCATCAACTTCACAAAGCGTGGAGCCTGATCCCAGATTCACTTCAGATGTAGCTTCTGCCTAGATAAAGCAGCTTGACCAGGCAGGTTTTGATAGATGTTGACAAAATGAACGCAACAATTTACGTATAAAGACCACACTTGGAATATTGCATCCAGTTTTGGTCATCACAATATAAAAAAATGTGGAGATTAGAAAGAGTGCAGAGAAGAGCAAAAAGGATGATTAGGGCAGGGGTCCCCAACCCCCGGTCCGTGAACCAGTACCGGTCCATGGCATACCAGCAACCAGTCCACACAAACAAGCAAAGCCCCATCCATGGGATGCAGGCAGCACACAAAACCACACTCTCTCCGGTCCGTGAAAAACCTTTCTCCACGGAACTGGTCCCTGGTGCCCAAAAGGTTGGGGACCTCTGGATTAGGGGACTGGAGGCTAAAACATATAAAGAACAGTTGCTGGAATTGGGTATGTCTACTTTAATGGAAAGAAGGATTAGGTGGGACGTGATAGCAGTGTTCCAATATCTAAGGGACTGCTACAAAAAAGAACATAGAGCATAGAATAATAGGGTTGGAAGCGACCTTGAAGGTGTTCTAGTCCAGAATCCACCTATTCTCCAAAGCATCTGAAGGCGGGACAAGGAGCAATGGATGGAAACTAATCAATGAGAAAACCAACCTAGAACTAAGGAGAAATTTCCTGACAGAACAATTTAGCAGTAGAACAACTTGCCTCCACTGAAGGTTTTTAAGGAGACATTGAATAGCCATTTGTCTGAAATGGTATTCGGTTTCCAGCTTGACCAGGGATAGAAGACCTTCAAGATCCCTTCCAACTCTGTTATTCTGTTACTCTGTTAATTTAATAATATATTTTCATGAGTTAGACCTCACTGTGGTAAAATGGAATTAAGAAATCTATCCTGGGAGTTCTTTCCAAAATCCATACTTTTATTTAGTTTCTCCTATGGCGGGCAATTTTCTAAAAAAAGGTGGACTGTTCATCTCAGATAACTTCCATAGGATCTTTGTACTTACCAGAAACTTGAATTAGTCCCTTTATGGGAATTAACTTGATTTCTCCATATGAAGATTTTTCCACACACTATGCATGAGTTCTCCCCTCTGTAAGATTCCTGTTTCCACTTTCAAAGCATTTCTACCGTTTTTTTCTTGTTATGTATTCTTTTATGGGAATTTAGATGACTTTTCAACCGGAAGTACTTACCACACTCTGTGCATTGATAGAGTTTCTCCCCTGTGTGGATACTAATGTGTTTGGTAAGGGAACCTCTTGTAACAAAACTTTTTCCACATTCATTGCATATATATGGCTTCAGCCCTGAATGGATCCTTTTATGACAAGTAAGGTGACTGTTGTGACTGAAACTCTTCCCACATTCCATACATTTATAGGGTTTTTCTCCTGTGTGGATCCTTTTATGGGAAGTAAGGGAATCACGGTGACTAAAGTTCTTTCCACACTCTAGGCATCTGTAGGGTTTCTCCCCCGTGTGAATCCTTCTATGAGAAGTAAGGTGGCCATACCAATTGAAGGTCTTACCACAGTCTGTGCATTTATAAGGTTTTTCCCCTGAATGGATCCTTTTGTGGTAAGCCAGAACACTGCTCTTGCTGAAGCTCTTCCCACACTCCAGGCACTGGTAGGGTTTTTCTCCCGTATGGAGCCTTTTATGATAATTAAAAGAACTGTTTATACTGAAGCTTTTTCCACATTCTGTACACTTAAAGGGTTTCTCTCCTGTGTGGATCCTTTTGTGGGAAGCAAGATCGCTGCGTCGGATGAAGCTCTTCCCACATTCTATGCATTTATAGGGTTTTTCTCCCATATGGATCCTTTTATGGTATCTAAGAGAACTGTTCATACCGAAGCTTTTTCCACACTCAACACACTTATAGGGTTTTTCTCCTGAATGGATCCTTTTGTGAGAGGTAAGGGAACTGTTCATACTGAAGCTTTTTCCACAATCCATACATTTATAGGGTTTTTCCCCTGTGTGCATTCTTTTGTGGGAGGTCAGGTGATTGCTGTTGCTGAAGCTCTTTCCACACACTGTGCATGTAAAGGGTTTCTCTCCTGTGTGAACCCTTTTATGGGAAGTAAGCTGACTGCTATGGCTGAACTTCTTCCCACATTCTAAGCATTGATAGGGTTTCTCTCCCGTATGGACCCTTTGATGAGATGTAAGGGAACTTTTCATACTGAAGCTTTTCCCACAGTCTACGCATTTGTAGGGTTTTTCTCCAGTGTGAATCCTTTGATGAGAAGTAAGGGAACTTTTCATACTGAAGCTTCTTCCACACTCCAGGCACTGAAAGGGTTTCTCTCCAGTATGAACTCTTGTATGAGAAGTAAGAGAACTGTTCATACTGAAGCTTTTTCCGCACTCCAAGCATCGATAGGGTTTCTCTCCGGTATGGATCCTTTTATGAGAAGTAAGGGAACTGTTCATACTGAAGCTCTTCCCACACTGCAGGCATTGATAGGGTTTCTCTCCCGTGTGAATCCTTTTGTGAGAAGTCAGGTGGCCATGCCAATTAAACGTCTTTCCGCAGTCTGTGCATTTATAAGGTTTTTCCCCTGTATGGGTCCTTTGATGAGAAGTCAGATGATCTCTGTTCCCGAAGCTTTTCCCACACTCCAGACATTTATAAGGTTTCTCTCCTGTATGAACCCGTTTATGAGAAGTAAGAGAACTTTTCATACTGAAGCTTTTCCCACAGTCTATGCATTTATAAGGTTTTTCTCCTGTGTGGACCCTTCTGTGGATGGTCAGGTAACTACTGCTGCTGAAGCTCTTTCCACACTCCAGGCATTTATAAGGTTTTTCTCCCGTATGGATCCTTTTTTGGTAGGTAAGGGAATTAATTGAACTGCAACTGTTTTTCCCATCCTCACATTTATAGGGATTCTCCTTCATATGGATCATTTTATGTGGAATAATGTTACCACTTTTATTGTTGGAGCTCTTTTCCATTTCAAAGTCATTACCAAACATGGATTTTCCTTTGCATATTTCCTCACTCTCTTGTGTGTTGCGCATACTGCTTTCCTTGCAAATACACTGGGCCAGAAAGTGATTAATTTCCGCACACTGAAGAGTGAATATTTCATTGCCATTGTAACTTTGGCTTTTTTCATGTTCCTTCATTCCCCACTTATCTGCCGATGTCTCTTCTGGTATTTCAATTTTTATTATTTGCAATGGCACCAGATTTGGCTCTTGGTAATTCTCATACTTTTGCTCATCGACTGCTTGGAGGGGGGGAGGGGAGAAAGGAAATCAGAAATGTCAAGATGTCTGATCACAGAATATACATATCATTGTAAAATAATTGTATGAAATATATGGTGATAAGGATATGTGAAATAAGCAAAAACATCTGTACAGATCTCCCAAGGTGTAAATAAGCTATCTAATGACTCCTCACTCTGACTTAATTTTCCTCCAGAGCAGAGTTCTCCAATCTTTCTGGGTTGGTGGCCCGGGGAGGGGAGGGGGAAAAGAGGGGATGGTTTAATGGAAGGGAGGTGTGTGTGCACGCACAGGCATGCGCAAGAGCACCCGTTGCTCACACGATAAGTGGGCTGAGAGCACCTGTCATGCTTGCTTGAGGGTGCCAAGTGCTCACGTAAGTGAAGCCCCGAGCGCTTGCAACGCTTGTGCAAGAGAGGTCCCAAGTGCCCACAATGCTCGTGTGAGTGGGGTCGTGAGCAACTGCAATGCTTGCGCAAGTCAGGCCCTGAGTGCTCACGACACTCACACGAGTGGGGTCGCAAGCGCCTGTGACAGTCACACAAGTGGGGCTGTAAGTGCCTGCAATGCTCACGCAAGTGAGGCCCCGAACACCTGTGACACTCACACAAGTGGAGCTGTGCGCATGCATACTTGTGTGCCAGCCACATGGCCCGGTTGCAAATAGGCCAAAGACTAGTAGTGGGCCATGGCCCACAGATTGAGGACCCCTGATCCAGAGGAACCCTTACCTAAAGAAGCTAAGATCCTATATGTCTCCAACATGACTTCTTGGTGCAAGACTTTCTGTCTGGAATCCAGGAGCGGCCACTCTTCAGTGGTGAAATGGACAGTCACCTCTTCAAAGGACACAAGACCCTGAACAAGGAAGAATTTCTGTAAGAAAACTCAGGAAGAATTTGCAAGATTTCCTTTAATCTGCAAATCCTAAAAACACAGTGTTATAATGCTTATTTTGACATTTCCCTGGCTGGGCTCCAGATGTTATGTGATAACACCATTCCCTGATCCCTTGTGTGTGCGTGTATGTGTCTTATACAATACATCCTTTCTATGTGGAAGTTTTTATTTATTTATTTAACAAATTTATATGGCTACCCAACTCACACAAAGATGACTCAAGGTGACCTACATTAAAAATCCACAACATAAACAGCCGATAAAGGGGACCACTAACCCCTTTATCTCTTTCCTAGACAAAAAGCTGGAAAGAGGCCATGTTGAAAGCACTTCTGTAATGCATCGCAAACTGGCACCAATGGAAATTCTTAAAAGCCAAGCTGGAGCCAGGGGTGTCTTTGTTCTTTTGGGGAATCTCCTTAAAACCCAGAAGAAAAAGCTATTCTTGAAAAGAAAGAATAACTCTCAGTGGAGATCTTTTATGCCACTGTATTTTTGCAAATTAGGTTAGCAACTTCCTTATTAGCCCTCCAAAATGATCAAGGATGGCACTATCCTATTATTTTGCCTGTTTTAAAGTGTGAACTACCATTTTTAAAGTCCAGCAACATATAAACTAAAGAATTCAATACCTTTCCAAAACAGTCAAGAGAGACAGGCAAAGTGTGACTGATTCCTAATTTCCCTATCCCACGTTGCTCAGGAACAGCGGTATCACACGCTGAGATCTCAAATGACCCCAAAGCAGTCTCCAACTGCTCCCCTATATTAGACCCAGATCTTTTCCTTCCTACCTGAGCTGGAAGTCCAGCCACTCTTTCAGCTCCACCAGTACAAGGAGAGGAACCGATAAACAATGGTGACTCCATTTTGTTACCTGGGAAGAAGAGAGACATGATGGAAGCAGAAGATAGCTGAGGGCAGGACCTTATATTAGGCGGAATCTGAAGTTCCCGTGTGAATGATTAAGCTAATTTCCCATTGTTCAAACCCCACCCAAAGGCCCGAATCCATCAGGAGCCAATCTGCCGGCGTGAAGGTGTTATGAGAACTCTTGAGACGAGAAGGTAATAACAAGTTGTCTTCTTGGCACTACAACCTTGGTAAGAGGCTGGAACTGGCCAGAAAGGAGTCCATCCAGATGAACCTATTTCTTATACAGATACATCAAAGTGAAAGCAACAAATTCTTCTATCCCTAAGTAACAGTCCCCCTCCCCTCGACATACCAGCATTCTGACAGGGACCTAACGGATAATTTTCTAGCATGAAGGCATCACTTAAGACTGTGGTGGCGAACCTATGGCACGCATGCCACTGGTGGCATGCAGAGCCCTCTCTGTGGACACGTGCACCATCACCCCAGTCCTAGGCCTTCAGCTGGGTTTTATAAAACCTTTTCGCTTTAGGCCTCCGCCACCATGTGCAAAAAAAAGGTTCAATCAATCAATCAATTTCAACTTCTCGCAGGAAAAAAAAAGATCTCACAAAGTTGGAATTGATTGATTAAACTTTTTAGTCCCACCCAGTCTGCCGTTACCACCGTAGCCACGACCACAATGGGCCATGCCCACCCAATTGGCCACACCCACCCAGCATATGACGATACATAAGTGGGTTTTGAGTTGCAGTTTGGGCACTCGGTCTCAAAAAGGTTCGCCATCACTGACTTAAGACTTCTTCTGTTCTACAGGGGAAACCTACCTTTTGGCTTTGGTGGCTTTTCCTGGGCTCCATCTTGAGAGGCAAGAATATAAGAAGAGAGGACCACAATCCCAGCACGTACCAGGGAAATAACCCCACTTGTTTCTATCTCTTTTGGGCAGGAAGGAGACAAGGAAGTATACTCTTGGCAACCAAAGCATTCACTCAAATACCGTTTATCCTCTCCCAATTGCCTGCAGACTGAAACCATTCTGTTCTGGCACTCGCTGGAAGACAACCATTTTGGAAACCATCCCACTGAAATTCTGGCAGCCCGGAAACACGCCTGCAACACAGATGGTGTTGGAGATGATCTGTGTCAGAATCTATTTAAAATTATCCATCAAGAGAGGCCACAGACAGATTGCTCCAATCCCCACCAATGAGAACAAAGAGATCCAGAATGCACTCCAGGGTGATTCCCAGAAGAGTCCCAGTCTTCTGCAAAGGGGCAACCATGGAAAAGTGGCACATGGACTGAAGGGAGAAAGTCCAAGGATTAGGATATGAAAAGATACAGAGAATTAAGAATAACCAGAATCTCTCTGGAAAATCTCCAACCACCTGGAAGGATCCTCCCTTACCTAGTGAGGCATTCTGATGTTGACATTCCTCCTTGGAGATCCCTCTGAAACACGATTCCTGAGAGGGATTTGTGGGATCCATCCAGTTACACCCCTCTGCCAGGAAGGACCTCAGAACCTGAAATAAAAGCAAAGGAGTTAAGAGAACAGGAGATAAGAGAAATTGAATTTTCATTCCGTGTCCACAAAGTTGCAAGATTTCTTTGTCCATCAGTGGGGATGGAAGAAGCCAATGGAAGAATTGCTCCATATATACCCTCTGGAAGAACACAGGAACAATTCCTCCAATGTGATTCTCTTAACATCATGTGTCATTAATCCCTCAAACTCTCTTAGGGAGACATTTAAGAATTCAGACATATTAAGATCCCTCAACATTTCCCAAGAGAATATAAGTATAGGTGGTGTATAGGTGGTACCTGGCTCAGTAGTAGGAACTGTGAGAGGAATCCTGCGATTCCTAGTGGACAATCACTTAAATATGAGCCAGCAGTGTGCTGCCGCTGCCAAAACAGCCAACGCAGTTCTAGGCTGTGTTAAGAGGGATAGAACTGAGATCACATGAAGTGTTAATACGACTTTACAATGTCATGGTAAGATCACACTTGGAATATTGTAACCAGTTTTGGTCACCACAATGTAAAAAAGATGTTGAGACTCTGGAGAGAGTACAGAGAAGAGCAACAAAGATGATCAGGGGACTGGAGGCTAAGCCATATAAGGAATGGTTGCAGGAACTGGGTATGTCTAGTCTAACGAAGAGAAGGACTAGGGGAGACATGATGGCAGTGTTCCAATATTTGAGGAGCTGCCCCAAAGAAGAGGGAGTCAACCTATTTTCCTAAGCAACAGAAGGCAGGACAAGAAACAACAGATGGAAATCATCAAGGAGAGAAGCAACCTAGAACTAAGGAGGAATTTCCTGACAGTTAGAACAATTAACCAGTGGAACAACTTCCCTTCATAAGTTGTGAATGCTCCAACATTGGAAGTTTTTAAGAAGGGATTGGACAGCCATTTGTCTGAAATGGTATGGGGTATCCTGCCTGAACTAGATGACCTCCAAGGTCCCTTCCAACTCTTATTCTATTTTAGAAATGTCTCTCACCTGGTGTCCTCTCTGCTCCTTCTCTGCTTGGGTCAACAGAAAGCCTTCGGCTAGGGCCACCGCCTGGCAACTGGTCTCCGGTCGGCATTCCCGCACCCAGCGCTGCATCTCCCCGGGCAGGATGGCCAAAAACTGCTCCAAGATCACCTGGTCCAACATCTGAGCCTTGGTGTGCTTCTCGGGCTGCAACCACCCGCAGCAAAGGCGGTGAAGGCGGCTGCAAAGCCCTCGTGGCCCCTCAGTCTCCTGAAAGGGGCTGTTCCTGAAGCGCCAATGCTGGAACTCAGAACTGAGGGCTTCCTTCTCTGGGATCTTCTGCCCGGGT